AGGCTTCCACTCATAAAGAATTTTTTTTCCCCCATTGTGATTACTATCTATGTATGCACAGAGCAAATATGGAGGTGTTTTTTCCCCCCCGATATACTTAAGCACAGATTTACAGCAGCAGAGAATGAGATCCATAAACCACCCTTTCTATCTTTCCAGAACTGAAACAAGCAAAAAGTCTCTCCTTCATCCTAAAATTGGCCATGTATGTTCTTGCATCCCCTAGGAATATGAATAAATAGTCTGAAAGCCTTTCACAAGCAGAATCTCTCTATAAATGTTAATAAACTCATGGGCAATACTAGTTATCCGTCTCCACCTAGTGTTGAAAGGATAGGCTGCATTAGCACTTGGAGAGTGCTTTGAGGATCACTATGGCATCTCAAGGGAACAACCTGGTGTGTTAAGAGTAGCCTGCCAAAAAAATAGGTTTTAACAATCTCAAAAGATAAGCATACCTAGATAAATTATATTTATCTAGAAAAAGGTAGCTTTTATCTAATCTTTATCATTGTGTATAATATCCTGTATTTCATAGCTGATTAACAAACCTATGAAAGCACTAATCATGACTTGCTCAGAAACACTTAGCCAAAAACCTCCATCAAAATCCACTGCGTCTCCATTTTTAAAACTCAATTCTCCTTCATACAGTAATAACTTTATCAAGTCTGACTTTTGCCAAAGTTTAAAAAAGCCTCCTCTTAATCTTCTCCACACTGCATACCTTCTTGTTATGTTACATAACTGCTTTCAGAGCTCAAATCTGACATGCTCCTGAAATTACTAGAATGGGCCTCAGGATTTTTATCTGGCTTTGCACCAGAACTTCTCATTCCCTGGCTGCTTCTGGCAAGAGATCATAAGTAAAGTCAGGCACACAGGTCTGGGAAAGAAAGCCATGCACAGCATGTCACATTTGACTAAGAATTATCATCATCACCAGAACTTAAATTAATTTGTGACCTGTAAATGCTGTAGTACATATCACAAGCGTGCATGTCTGGGGAGGGGAAAAAGACTCTTAAAAAGAACAAATACTATTTTAGCTGTATAAAACCATGTCAGATTTATGTTCATGAGGTGAGCTGCAAAAGCAGTCATCTTACAAGAAACTGATTTCAAAATAATGTGTTAACAGATCAGTCAGCGAAACTAAACTTCTTGCTCACAATTTGACATTAGTGTAGCTTTACCTACACCAGGATTAATTGCTTTTATTAAGCATTCCCAGGAGGAGTTTTGCTTTTGAAAAAAAGACAAAATGCATATAAACACTGAACAAATAACTGCAACTTGTTGGTCCAGGAGCACTTCTCAGCTCTTGGTTCACGGTGTGCCCCGTTCTTAATCCACTTTGGTCTTTACTGAAATAAGGACATGAATCAAATGAAGTTATAAACATCAGCAGATTTTTTCTAGAATTTTTCCTTTTTTGGTAATGCACATACCATCCTAAAATTACACTATTTGTATTAAGGCGTGCAAGATCTAATCAAAATCAAATCAGCCTCCCAACATCCTTTAGGAAACCCATCAACTGTGCAGCACCAGACAAGACTGTCAGTTACAGCAATGGCACCATTCATTTTGTCATCTTCTGCAAACAACGGAGGCATCATGCCATCTGCACAATGCAATTATGTAAAAAACAGATATTTCTGTGCACTGAAGCTTTGATGAACTCAGATTTTAAGTCAATTAATCAAAAATACCATTATGTAACAAGTAGGATATTAGGAGCTTTTTTCCAGTTAATGCACATGAAATTATTAAACAATAACATCTAAGAGGTAGGGAAAACAATCTGAAAGTTCAGAGCCGTATCAGAGTGCCACAACAAAAGTTTCACTTAATTCTCAATTAGGCTGCTAACAGTAAACGCAACTCTAGAGGAAAGTATCCTGAACAGGAGCAGAAGAGGTTGTGCTGCAGTCTAAGACGCGTGGCTATTTTCTTTTAGCACTGCCCAGCCTGCCATTATTATTTGTATTGCTTCCATGTTATCAACCTGCTAGCAATTGCTTTTATTTGCAGAACACCCCTACATATTTTAAAGATCATTTTCCAGCTGATGCTTCTGGACTCTGGAGTGTTGCAGTTAGGCAGCTCTAGGCTCAGCCTGCTGACAGCAGCCCTGAACAATATTTGTAGCGGTTTGCTCCTAGTAATAACAGAAAGGTGTAGTATGCTGTCCACTGTTAAACACTTCAGAATTAACTCATGTGCTGAAGAAAGTATTTCACAAAACTGTGCAGAGCTCAATGAAAAGGTGATGAGCATCTCCATTTATTTTTCCCAGCAGTGGCATTTAAAGAGTCAGGCAGCAAAACAGTATGTGCAAGGCTGGCATTCTGTGAACAGAATTCCACTTCTGGGTAAAGAATTTGAGCATCGAAATAAGTGACATTCTAACAAGACTCACAAGGTAAGTCCTGCAAGCAGAACTATCAGAGGGCAGGCTAAAAAATACAGAGGACAGAAGTTTTAAACATTAGCACAACAATGCCAAGGCAGAAGCAGCAACTATAGCTACTGGCCAGTAGCCAACAGGACAATGAGCCTTTTGCAGCTTATTTCCTAAGAGATATCTCACCATAGCAAAGGTCAGACTCTTAACAAACAGGTGGACATTCCTCCAGCTGATTTCCTTGATGATATTTAGCATATGTTACATTTTAGAGAACCAAAACACCATTGGAGAAAGCCTGGAGGTTAGGGGGCACACAAAGTCCTGGATTTTAAAAACTCAACTTCCTTAAAAGGCATGTGACTCCTTCAGCAAGTACAGCCTGCTACCTAACCCAAACTATTCTATGAATCCATGAGCATCCTGGAAGTACACAGTTGGAACAAATGTAACTTTAAGTCTCCAATGTTAATACACAAAGCTAGAAAACCTGGCATTTAACAGCTAACACAAAGCATTCAAAACTATTTATGAGTTCCTAGTGTAAGACTAAGCTCAGCTACCAAAGTTGGTAGTGGTCATGTTTGAACTGCTGTTCACAGTCTAAGCCAATCCTTTGAATATCCAGCTTCAATAACTTTAATTCAAAATCTAAGTTAAAGAAGGTTATAAACAGCTGATTTTATTTAAAGCATCTCAAAGTCTGTTCTTCCTATGATCAGATTACTGAATTTTCTGCAGGGAAGGTTCTGTTTGTTTTTCAGTTATGGCCAACTGAGAAGAGGCTACAAGGACTATCAAATAGGCTGGGTAGCGTATCAGTAGATATACAAAAAGCCCTGATAGTTGTTGGTCCCAATGTTAGTTGCCAGAGTACACTGCTTCTATACTCCAGTCCTTTCACCAGCTACCAGTTAGCTACAAGTCGATATTCAAGACACTTGAATTCTAGTATTGTTTCTTTCCCATCCTGCCACATCCCACCTTGTTGCTTTGGGACTGTGAAATTGATATTGCACAGTTTCACAACAGCTTAAATCTGTCAGGGCTGGTTCAGTACTGCTGTCCTTTCTTCCTGTGCAAGCAGAGATGCTGGAGAGCTGAGTTACCTCCTCCCATCAGGACAGGACAGACAGCAGGGCTGCATCAGTCTCAACCTCTATTGGATTCAGCTGGCACAAAACCACCCCCCCTGCAGCCTGGCTGCAGCACAGCCATCGCTCCAGCTTTCAGCACAAGCTTCTTCCCAAAGTCCTTCTGCAAAGCCTGACAGATACATAAATGTATGTCTGTAAACAGGTATGTTCTAATCAAGTCAGCATGTCTCACTGTGTATGTTACAAATATGGCAACCATAACAAAAACACTTGGTCTGTTCAAAAGATGTAGTGTCCTTTTGATGTCAAATTCTGTCAAATATTTCCACTATTAACAGAGCAGAAAAGCCATTAAGATTTACAGTGTGATACAACCACATTAGTCATATCTTACATTTCAACCACAAGATAATTTACCTTTCCCATACAACCACAGCATTTCAAAATAAAACAGCACATTAAACTTGCCAAAAATCTCAGAAAATGAGTTTTGTATTTCTTCATAAACCTGTCCAGTTTTACAGTAAACCAGTTCCTTTACACACCTCAAACTCTACACTGATAGGAACAGAGTTCAAACGCATCATTTTAGCTAGGTTATTTCAGAGCTTAACAAGATTATTTCAAAATGCTGCATACATTAGAAAACTAGTTAAGGTTCAGGCATGACAAAAGAAACACAGCTTCAGAGACTTGTATTTCACCTCTGCTGGGTGTTGTCACATTTTTGTACAACTGCAGACAGCTTTGCAGCATTCCAAAATCAGGATTACATATATAAAGTATCTTTTGATGAAAGGTATAGCACAGTCATAGTATCCATGAGGTGGCTACACTGTAGCAAGTATACAAATCTTAATTTATTTATTTTTATAGAGTTGCATTAAAAGTTTCAACAAGGACAAAATCTTATTTGTGACTATGTAAGATATTTCAAAATGCCAAGCATTCTAACAAACACATTCAAACGTTCAAAATCTGTTTTGCAGAAGCCAAACCAGTCACTTGCATTAGGAGTGGACAGAAAGCATAAAGAGTGTATTTATCCCCAGATGACCAATTTTCTCATCCTATCGCAGCTATGTCAAATTCTTACACCTTTATGGATGACAAATTTTCATGTCTTACACTCTACAACTGGACATATTAGCTTAAAAACCATCTATCTGTTCATAAAGTACATCTGTTCTGCTTTTCCAATAATTGCTTACAGCTAAGATATTCTGTAGTATGCCTAGCTGATTCTTGAAATTATGTTTTTAAATTCAAAGACAAAAGCACTACAAATTCAGTTGAAATAATGAAAAAAGACAAGTCAGTTAGCAAAGCCCAAATTTCACGCAAAAATCCCTAATGATTCATTAAAAGGAGAAAATCGGCTTTCTAGTAGATTTTTAATTAGTTGGTTCGGTTTTGTCCCCTTTTTTTCAAACCTGAAACATGCAGATTGCATTACATATACAGCAATACTTTTTTACATACAGATATCATACCTGCGTGAAGTATTTTCCATCTTGTTTCAGGACTTTCATCGAGAGGTCAAGAATCAACCGCAGAAATTCCCATGTGGAATCTGCATATAGAGTATGATTGAAAAAGAGAACAGCACGTTATTAGCTTGCTCGCTATTACATATTCAAGACTTGTAACATATCTACTGTTTAAAAAGTAGTTATCCTGTACTTTAAAAAAAAAAGAAAAAACTCCAAACTAACAAGGAAAAAAGTAAAAGACCCCACACAACCCATACACAATGGCAACGATGGTGAAAGTATCTTACTTTTCTTCACAGTAATTTTCTAGATCTTTCCAAGAAATTATAGAGCAGGGAAAAGTTTACTGGATGTGAACTCCTCAAATACTTTCTCAAGAATTACATGAGTTCATACTATTCTGGAGTAAGAGCACAGTTTAAAAGAGTCCTAGGCACTTATTAATTTTTTCTAACATTCAAGAAAAGTTCAAAGAGAATAGATGTGTTACTATCATTCTTTGCCTCTCAGATTTGCTACTGAAAAGGCAAGAATCAAAGTATTCTTGTTGCACACTGCCAACTACTATGCAGTCAAGGGGCAGAAATATGAAAAAATTCTCAGAAGCTTAGAAAAATGAATTAGAAGATTAACCTTCTTCTGGAGATGTGGAGATTGGAACAGCCGTCAGATCATTAATTACATAATCAAACATCCTTCCTTCTTTGGCATACCTCTTCAGTACGGGAATACAGTCTTCAATTAGAACCTACAAGAATTAAATACTGTAGCTAGTCCTTCAAAATACCTTAAAACTGACTGGGTAAGAGGAACAAATGCAGATTCACAGCAATTAAGAGGAGCAAAGTACAAAATTAAACACACATTTAAGTTTTTAATTTTTTACATCACATAAAACGTAGGAACAGTTGTAAGAATTATGGCAATGACAACACAGGCACTACAGGAGTGAATTTCCTAGCTGACACTGGTTCCTGGGTGATCACTGTTCTACCTACCAAATGGTAACAGTTATCAGTCCCCCAACATGAGTTGTTATTTGTATGAAGGGCCACTGACTCACGGAAAGTACCATGTGAATTCTCAGTTAGTTTTTTGTGTGCCTTCTTAGCTCACACATGTAAACTAGTATCTATGAGCGCCTTAAGGAGTTGTAATGAAAACAGAAAGAGAAGATTTCCAGTGAAGATGTCACGTTGCACCTGGGCTAGTCTGTAAACTGTCAGATGCAGCACAAAGACCTTAACTGTAGGGATGTAAGAATTTTTATTTTTTGTTCTTAATTTTTAATATACTAGTAATATGATGGTAAGATATTTTGCCTCAAATTAAAAATCATTTTAAGATGTGTATTACAAATTCTAATATTCTCAACAGTACAGGACACGTAACTTCAATACACATTTCTTCTATCTTTTCATGAATTTAAGGCATGATGTTTAACATTGCATCCTTACTGCCATTTCCTCCTTATTTGTAAGCTACAGTAATAAAACATTCACGTATTTCGCATTCCATAAAAGTTACACATAATTATTTTTAAGAGTTTAAAGATGGAGAGTTAAAATATTTTGATACTAATATATCCCGCATCCCTTCCAACACAAATCTCACTTTCAGCTATTAAAATTTAGAATTAAAATTTAGAAGTGTCATAAAAAAGGAAAAATCCTTCCCAAAATTAAAAAAAAATATCAGAAGACTTTTCCCCGAAAACATCACCACAGCAGTCCTCCAGGTTAGGTAAAACTATATTTGAAATATTAATTCTAATGAAAGAAAAACAACAAATTACCTGATAGCACTCTCCTTTCAGATTGTCTAAGACATCTCCACATGTTTTACGCATGTATTTTTTACACCCGTCGATCACCATTTGGTCAATGTTTGAAGCTGGTTAAGGCATTCTACATTCCAGAAATAATACAAGTAACAGTTTCTATTTCTTTAGAAAGAAATTCTCAAGAAGGTGACATTCACAAAGGAACAGTAAGATGGGCATCTTGGTATACATATTGCAATAGCCAACCTTATGTATTTGCCTCCAGGTTTAGGAAGTGCTTAATTTTGGTTTTAACTGGTATTTCTGGTACCATAGGTTACCGTTACTGTGAAAGTTTGAAATGTGAACAATAGACGGTGTATTCAAAAAAATCATAAAGCTAAACTAGGTTAAGACTTTAACTTACATTTTTAAAACAATTATTTTTCATTTTTAGCAAGGGGATCCCAAAGCCTAAGACGATCAACATTTTATACAGCTAACAGTGGTTTACATTACAAACTATTTGAACTACAGAATGTTGAAAACTTGATTTGCAATCAGTATTTTTAAGGCAAAGCAAGAGTTGGTCATTCTCCCACCACCACAATTTACCAAGTCCTGACATTCCTATTGATTACGCTTTTTTGCTTCTATGGATTTTTTTTTTATAGCTTTCTTTAGAAAAACAGAAGAATCCAAGAAGGCAGAACTTAGTCCAAACCACAGACTTGACAGGCTTGTCTTCTGTTACTAGAGAAGATACCAGTCTGGTGTCAGAAGCATTCCTTTCCAGTTCTGTGTAAATTGCTACTCAAAAGTTATAGTATGGATTGAAATCTTGAAAGTACGTGCTACATAACAATGCACAAGTATGTAGCCACTGGGTCTCTCTAAGCTGACAAAAAGAAATTTGATTTTAGACCCTATCTCCTCACGCAAATCAGAACCTGACAGTTAATTGTGCTCAATGCTAAGACATCCGCAGAAAACATAAGCTGAAAAACACTGAAACGAACCATCAGCCATTTGTCAAAGGATATCTCTACCATAGTAACCATCTTTGGCTTCAGTTTGACTATCTCGTATAGTATACCTCCATCACCACCTCCTAGGATTAGCACTTCCTTCCCAGTGTAGTCTTCCTTTCCGCTGCCCATTATGGCTTGAGTATATGCCAGGTCACTCTCTGCCAGATCTGAATGGAAGGAAGAGTGGAACAGAAATATTTTATCTTTAATTCTTCTCATTAACTGGTATTAATCCAAAGGTGATAAAATACAGACCAAAGTAAGAACACCTCCAGAAACAACCTAGCTCTCAGATATAGTATAGGTAACAGGAGGCTGGTGATTTACTAAAGCTAATAAGATCTTCCTCAGAATCCCACAGATAATTTCCCTAACTCTCAATGCAAACCCAGAAATGGCTACCTCAGCATTATGAAGTTTTGTGTGCCAAGAGTTTGCCTCTCTTGGCAAAGCTGTAGAGCAAGACAGTCAGTACTTCAGACTTGATGTCCACACTTCAGGGGGTTTTCACCTCAGACTAACGCTGCAAGAGACAAATCAAGAGATATGTCTGAACCTCAACTAAAAAGGGCAACCTAGATGCACTCCAGTGGATCCCTGCACAGAAGTTTAAGTATATCCATTAATACTTAACTACTGAAGGGCCCTGAAGCGTGCCTTCTGCTGACTTGTCAGCATTCGCTTCAAAGCGGGCAATAACATTCCCAAGCTCTAACAACAGATCTAAGTTACAAGGGCAAAGCCTTGCGCAGCAGCACATCACATCATGGCATATCCTATCATCCTGCCTGGCAATTGGCACTTAGCTTGGAAGTGCACAATAACAAAATGACACAAAGCAGTACTTTAAAGTCCCATGGAAGGTAAATAAGTAATGGCATGCTTCCCTTCATGAGGCACATTGTGATAACGTTCAAATAAAACATCATCTTCATATGAAACTGACGAAAATTTTTGGCCTGAAGTATAGAATGCCTATTTGGTGATTTCAAATACAATTCTAACTGAATTAGAAGATACCTTACTAGTGAACTCAGTAACAACGCTTCTCAGCTGCCATCTGCACAGAAGTCTCCCTGACAGTTGGAGAAAGCTACTTAAGTGGTTAGAAGGACTTCTAGTGATTTCAAAAAGCAATAGTCAAATTTCTTAGTTATTCTGTCATTAGACTGAAATCAGGTATTCTAGCACTAGACAGCAATGTTTGTCACTTACCTCAGTCAGTAGTTTTCAACATAAGCACTGGGAGATTTTTACAAAGCAATTTCCTTGATGCCTAGATTTTCTAGCAAACAGCATTCTTATCCAGCTTAAAGGAACAGAAGTCCACCTTCTCCCAAGTTCACTTTCAAAAATACAAGTATCAGCAGGCATAGAGTACCACATGTGAAGACCCTCCATAAAGGTTGGGTCACTCTTCTGATTAGAGTTCAACTAAGCATTCTGAAGAAGACAGTCAAACAACATTCACCAACAAAGCAGCTAAATGAGTTAAGATACATATGTCCTCTATCGCACCAAGCAAGCAATTCCCTTAGAGAATCAAGGAAGCAGCAGGATTATCCCTATATATACACACACCAGCTCTTACTTCTTCATATTTCTTTAGAATTCCACTGCGTTTTGACAACTGACAAAGTAGCTTGTTTTACTGTCAAAGAGAAGTCCTCAAAAGGTTGGACTTGCAACAAATCAGCAAAAGCTCACATGAAAGAAAGGAGTAGAGAGTAAGCTCTGCTAGAGAACACTGAGTTCTGTTGTCCTGTGTCACTTTCCACGTAAGACACAATGTCAAGGGAGGTGATTCTGCCCCTCTACTCTGCTCTTGTGAGACCCCACCTGGAGTACTGCATTCAGCTCTGGAGTCCCCAACACAAGGACATGCTGGAGCGAGTCCAGAGGAGGGCCACGAAGATGATCCGAGGACAGGAGCACCTCTGCTATGAAGACAGGCTGAGAGAGTTGGGGATATTCAGCCTGGAGAAGAGAAGGCTCCGGGGTGATCTTACTGCAGCTTTCCAGTACTTAAAGGGGGCCTACAGGTAAGCTGGAGAGGGACGTTTTACAAGAGTATGTAGTGATAGGGCAAGGGGCAATGGATTTAAACTGAAAGAGGGTAAATTTAGATTAGATATAAGAAAGATTTTTCACTCTGAGGGTAGTGAGGCACTGGAACAGGTTGCCCAGAGAAGCTGTAGATACCTCATCCCTGGAAGTGTTCAAGGCCAAGTTGGATGAGGCATTAAGCAACCTGGTGTAGTGGAGGGGTGTCCCTGCCCATGGCAGGGGGGTTGGAACTAGATGATCTTTGAGGTTCCTTCCAACCCTAACCATTGTATGACTTTAGAAATAGAAAAAAATCTTTTTTTGTACTCCAGATTTTACATTCGTCAGCCTGATTCAAATATATACAAGAACAGATATGTGTAGGCAGACATATGTAGGTTCCTGCATCAGAACCATGGCACTTAGTAATCTCTTAAAACTATGGCATAGGAAGATAGAAAACAACACTTTCTAAAATTTCACACAAAAGATCCTTAAATGAGAGGATACTTACTAACATCCCCACTGAGGATAAGAATATTCCCAAACTGTTTTGAATGCAGAATTTTAATATTCTGAAAAGGTGAATCTTCATCATAAACAACTTCATCTATGTCATACTCCACCAGGCGTCCATCAGCTGTGGGCCAGTATCTGTCAATGACACCTCCTCTTAAAATGGCTGGTAATCTAGAAAGAAATAAGAAAAAAGTGATTATAAAACATTTGAGAACGTTTATTTAAAAAAAATCCTTGTAAACATCCTGTGGATTCACCATTATAAATAATATTTACAAGAGGGATGTAAGAAAACTTTCAAGATTTAACACTCAATGGATTTAAGAAACCTATCAGCCATAAGTTAAATATATATAATTTGCTAAGGCACAGATTAAATATAAACAGTTCTTCTTTATGTACAATTTCTACAACGTGCACATGAATCTCTCTCTACCCAAGAGAGGGGATTTACAGAACATACCAGCCTCTGCAGAAGAGCTGGCTCATGACTAGAAATGGATACAATACAAAAGCAGAATTTAGAAAAAAGCCATGACAAAACCTCTTCCCACCCTCAGCTCAGCTAACAATGGCATTTTTTTTTGAGATTAGTGGATCTCACCCTTCCAAAGTTGTACTGAAAGACATTACATAAATAAACACAAGTGAACTATAATAGTGTTTCCAACAGAGCCAGGTCACCCTGCAGTGTAAAAGCGCAATCCTTGATATCAGTTGACAGTGCGCATTACTTTTTTAAAAGTGGTTCATGCATCTGCATAGATTGTTTTGGGTTTGCTGTTTAGGGTTTTTTTTTAATTTCATATAGAAGTATCTTGGTTCAAATCAGTATTTCATCCGTAAAGACAAACTATATTTCAAATGGCAGTGAATGATCAAAATTATTGCATTCTATTTTAAGCAAAATGTGCAGGCACAGAGTTCAGATTTCCCACACGCACTTCAGGGGCTTAAGGTTGTTTTTCTTCCCCGAGGAGAGCAGAAGACCAGACATAAACAAGCTTCTTATAAATTCACTAGTGATCCCAATAAACATTTCAGAAGTATTTTCTGCCTGCAGTGAGCCACGAGATGGCAGCACACGATGAGAGCAAGAGCATCTGTTCACTATGTCCAGGCAACAAAGGCAGGAACAACTCTTCCAGCAGCATTTATTCTAGCGGAGCTGCACGTGCTAACACCAGAAGGATGCAAAACAAATATAAAAAAGAAAAAAAAAAATAGTTGAGGTATGTGACAAGATCTGCAAGAGAGCAGAAGCTGCAAGAGAGCTGCAGGAAACCTTGCTGGAGCAGGGCCTCCTCCACGGGCTTGAGCTTCATTTTAGCTCCAGCACTCATCCCGATCCCTGCCCAAGCCCATCCAAGTCTTTTAATGATTCTCAACACCCAACTCGGTCTTGGAGCTGCCTCAGTACTACAGCCCAGCCTGGCTGTCACAGGGCTGGAACTGACCCTAGTCACCATCACCAGCCCTGGTTATCTTGTTCACGAGCTGTGGGATGTGGCCCCAAGGATACTGTTCACACCCTGGCCTATCCCCCTGCCACCCTTGGCTGCCCAGCACTTCAAGAGCAGTCTGCTCTTTCTGCAATGGTTTCATGAAATGGTGGGAGAAAATGCAACCAGGAAGCAAATTAAAGAAATAGTCATTGCCCAAAATAACAATAGTGAAGATGAAGCTCAGCAAAATGACCAATCTCACAGTATCTTCAATTCTGCACTTAAACAATTTTAAAATACTGGAGAAAAAAACATAAATTCATATTTCAGTTTATTCATTGCAGTACAGCAAAGCATAATTTTCTTATTATTTTTAGCAACTATACAGACAAGCCACACACAGAAATAGAAGCATGAACTTACCGTTTCACCCTTTTTATATTACCATGAAACAGTTCTTTCATTCTTTCTTCTATTTTGTTTAGAAGCTGAAAAAAACAGCAAACAAGAGAGGTGGAATTCATAGGTGATCACTTAATGTAAAGTACCTATTAAATTAGGCTACTTGGAAGGCAATAAAAAGGAGCACCTGCACTGAAAGGCTTATGAACAACTAGCTGGTCACCTTAGCCTCATTACTAGCAAGAATGTGCATATTGTAGCAGCTGTCATCACTGTGTTTAGCTGTCCTCCAGGATATCATAGCCAGACCTTTCACGCACAGCCAAAGAGGGAACATGAGAACTCTGACAAAGCACTGGCCTATTCCCCTGCAATATCCAATTTCTGGAGCCTTCATATTGGGGAAGATGAACTTAATTTCCTCCATAGGAAAGAAGTTTGAGTATAGAGGCTCCCCACCTAACACATTAAAGAAGGAAAAGTCATACAACTAATACATAGAGTTGTGGGTTGAGCATCTACCTCACTGCCCTGCATGCCTGAAGAGACCTGAGCCCTGATCAAGCTGCTGTGTCTTTACAACTTCTACAGCAAAGAACACAAGGCCCAGGACATGCAAGACGAGTGTGTGTGTGCGCACACACTCATTTGTACACAACTACAACAGGTGTTACCTCTCCTCAGCCGTAAGCAATGAGGTTTGAACTAAGTCTGATATTTAAAAATATTTTCCCAGATATACTTTGATAGAATTGAAAAAAAAAACTTCCCCATGCAGTTTGATAAGCCTAATAAGATAAGCATCACTCATACCTGATCAACTTCCTCTCTTCCTTTTGAATGATCATTGTAGCTCTGCAGATCCACCAACACTAATCCATGAGGGTGAATTCTCAAATTGGCAAAACTATAAAATAAAGAGAGACAGTAATGACAATTTTATTATTAAAAAAATCAGAGCAAGTGAGGAAAGAGTCTGAAATGAGTTATATTAAATTCAGAATTCCAGACGTCTGTAACTGTTGGCAGTGCCAGCTCTGTCCTGGAGTATTCAGGGATGAAAGTTCATTAGTACAACACAGAAATCTCAGGTAAAGCTGTATGCAGTTCTCTGAATGCCCCTCTCTGCTTGTCTGCTCTTATCACCCCACTCAGCATGAAAGGCAAAATACAAACCAACTCTTGTTGAAACAAAAAGTTCAGCAGACCTTCCATTTCCCCACCACTCCCACCTTTTTTGTTCCTTCCAGAGCTCCTTTCCTAAACTGGCAGCTTCAGTATGGATACCACCCCTCCAGTGGTGGTGGTAACTCTGGCCAGCAAACACCCTTAGCTGCAGTCAGAGAGAAAATCCTGAACGTTCTGTGTTATCTGAAGACTGTCAGTTTTGGTAACTGTAAAATGATCAAATGATGAAACTGGCGGAAATGATTCAAGAATAAAAGCGCTCTTGCTGGCTTTGGACAGCAGCCATCTGTAGCAGTGACGTGTTCATAGTTGACAGCAAAACCAGAGCGTCACTCACTTCTCTTCAGAAGATAAGCCTGCAAAGCCTGGGGCTTTCCTCAAGACTTTACGCACAGATCTTGCCTTCAGGAGGAAAGACGTTTCGATGCAACACGCACACGCCCACCATGTTTACCCCCTCCCAAGCACCACACCATCTTTTAGTGACCCTCTCTGCACCTCCGCCATCGCCCACCAGGTGTCCCCCCGACAAGGACTTTTGATCGGGGACCACAAAACACCCGCGCTCCCGACAGTCGTTCAACCAAACCACCGAAGAGCCTTAGACTTATTCCCCCCCGCCCCAGAGAATTACTTCTGCATAAAACAAAACACATTATTTACCCTGATGAAAGGATGAGCAGAAAATAGTCAAGGAGTAAGCAAAGATGCTTTTTTCTTGTTGTTTTTAACTACCAGCTAGAGCGCTACTACTTAAGAGACCAGGTTTATGAACAAATTAGAAGAATAAATTTTTTCACTATTCGAGACATTTCTAAGGCAGCTTTCTGTTTCTCTCACACAATCTACATAAGAGAGTGTTTAGGGAGATGCAGCAAACCCGTTCTGCTGCACTCCTGCCAAAACCGAAGCAAAGCAAAGGAAGCTATTCTGAGCTTTGGCAGGGGAACACTTTACCTGCACATTTTGGGATGCTGCACCCCACTCACTGGTGACAGACACAGTTCCATGCTTTTGATAAGTGAGCCACTTCATACTTTGCATAGTGACCCCACATCATCTTACAGCTGAAGCTGATGTTCCCATCAGTACCACTATGACACAAGTAGGACCATTAAACAATTAAAAAACGAAGAGCGCAGTACACACACACTCCCTCCCACACCAGTCTCTATGGGGCTTCAGAGTTTTTAACACTTCTCTCTGTGACCTGAAAAACCCTTGAACAAAAAGGACTCAAATTAGTTGCATGCTTCTCCTAGTCTCTTGGTATTCAGCATAGGGGGAATGGCTACTGCAAGGGAAAGCTCTAGAGAAAACCCCGCCAGGATTCTATGATTTTCATGTCAGCAAGGGTTTATGTTGTAACATGCCTAACATGAGAGGAAGACGTAAGTGTAGGAACAGACAGCTTTATTTCAAGACTCCAGGATAATCTTTCTTTTTAAAGGAGAGAAAGGCAAAAGAGCAGAGCTTGCTGGATAGAAGCACTGGTCACTCCAGTAGGTCTTGGACACAACCATTCGCAGTGAAAAAGGACATTTCTGGTGAAGTTAAGAGAGCTGCTCTAGGCCTTCAGAGCTGCAGCACTCAAACAGAAATAAGTATTTACAATTCATTAGACAGCACTGTTACTAAGTTCTATGAAATCTGGCACAGTGCCAGAAATATTTGCACTGTTAGAAAAACTTTTTATCAGTTTGTTCCCAGGGGTTGCTATTTACACAAACGAGCAACGGATTGATTGTCCCATGACTTGAACTGTCTTTTAAATTCCTTTCCTACAAGAATCACATAGCTGCCCTAAGTTTTGACAGCTGACATTGTCTTCACTTCCCCTGTGACTGCATGAAATAATTCCTCAGTACGTGATATTACTGCCTTTGCTTTTGAGGTCTTTTTTTGGGTGAGAGGCAAGTAGAGGCAGAGAGGGAGGGTTGCTCTGAAAAACACAACACAACTTTGGACTTACCATAAACGATATGACAGCATTACAATTCAGAGACAGTAACACTCCAGAACCATCACTCATTTTGTCAAATTGTTACCCCTACCAGAATAGCAGGGTCCTGACACCTGCAAGGGGGAGAGAGACAAAAGGCAGGCACCAGGCTGAAGCAGCATCACGGGGCAAAATTCAAGTTCTGAGTGTCTGGCTGATAACCTCAGACAGTTAATTTATGGTAAACAACCTTGAACCTTCAAATTTCTCTAAGAAGCTGATACAGATCCATATTGGTTAAAAGTCACTTGGTTGGAAATTAACACTCAAAACAAGCTAAAATGGCTGTAAAGATTTAAAGGCACAGCAAACAGTTCAAGTGTACCTTCAGAAAAGTGACCAGATTAGTAGCATTAAGGCAACAGCAGCAGGCCAAGGCTGAATCCACAAAAGACTTACCAGCTTCAATCAGCAGACAGCAAAGGCTATGCTGGCTTTTGCTACTTCACACTTGTCTGCTTGGCAGAAGGCACGTGAATGCAGGTTTTCAGCAGCAGCAGCTCTTAAATATTTGGGAGAGGGTTTTTAAGAACCATGATAACAGTTTGTTTCCTACCCATGAAAATACAGCAGAGATTACTTTACAATCTGAACGAGGGGAAAATAAACACCATGGAAAAAATGAAGTTTTCTGAAAAAGTCTCCTCTCCTGGATCTTGTCTTACTGAAAAATTTAATTCCTGTTTTCATAACAAAACACCTGCCATACCTTTGGTGTGTGCTCGCATGTACTTTCATAACAGCAGTGAGAAAAAAGCTCAGTGAGGAGGGATCCTCTGCTTTCCATTAGGCAACAGTCTGCTGCATGAAATGCAGCCCCCACTATAACAAGGCCCCACTTGTTGCTGCACCTGCATACCTGCCACATCTTCCAGGGCAGTACTCCATCTTTTTGTGCTTGCATGCAAACAAGTCACAACTACAGAAACAACCCTATTGAGTGCTGCTTCTTGCCACCTGAACAACAGGAAACATCAGATGTTAAGAAATAAATCTCAATTGCACAAATCAAAAAGTAACTGTTTGAAACTGAGAAAGGTTTTGGATGAGCATCCTCTTTAAAGAGCTCAGAAGCGGAGAAGCCAAAATATGAATCCTACCTTAGTTACCTGTACTGAGGAGTGAGAAATACTGCAATCCTACATATCTAAGAAAGGATTTCCCCATCACCACGCCCAGGGAATAAAAATGGACAGACAGACAGGTACCTACAAATCCCTCTTCACTGTCAAAGCTTTTATCTGCTGACAGACTAACTTTGAGTCACCACAGACTAGTTCAAATAATTGAAAAATAGTTTACCAATAAAAGCATCACCTGTCAAATTACTCATAATGAGGGAGAAAATTAAAGCCTGCTTATACTAGGAGATCTCAAAAAAAATTGTCACAACATTGCTTCAGTAAAGCATACTCTCTTTTTTAAAAAATGCTCTTCATCTTAATTACAAAGTACTAAGGGGACTAAGGGAATTAAGCAACCACAGTTTTTCCCTATATCATTATTCCTGTTCTCTTTACAAAATAAGGAAGTTAAACCAATGAAAGCTACCACAGTTAGACAATGTTGCCAATTCCTAGCAACTGCTTCCAATTCTTCAGCCCATTTTTGCACTCTATGTAACTCCATGAATAAACTACAATATTTTAGCCTGAAACAAAGAGCTGAAGAACGTTCATGCTTTAAAACATGCTGACTAGCATATAGAGCAGTTAGCAAAAGAGTAACGCAGGAAAGAAAAAAATAAAAACACTCATCCCTCCCTTCATAGTGTTAACATATCATCTCAGTGACATACAAACCAAATTGAACTAGGTAAATCTTGCAGTATTGCAAACAGTGAAGTCAAATGCCAGTAGGATTACACTTCTCTAAACAAGAAGTCAGACACAGAACAGAACCTAAAAATAGATGTGTGCGTAAGGTAGGTCAAACCTTTTCTAAAAGACAAGTCTTCTACTTTAGAAACAGTGGCTCTAAGTTTCAGGGTTTATGGGTTTTTAAAGAACTTTCAGGAGGAACATGACAAGAGGAAACATGGATGCATGAAGGACAAGAAAAACCCTGGTAACTGTACTTAGCACGTAACAAGAGTACATGCTCACAAGCAGTGATGCTAATAAAATACACTATTAGTCGCAAAGATACTCAACAATTTCCAAATATTAGCTTTAATTATTTTCTCCTTACCCTAGAGTTATTTAATAACTTTTTACAAATCTGTTACAGGCCTTATGACTCTGTACAAAGAACCATATACATTAAATGAGATTCAGAAAAGTCAGGAATGTAAAGTCTTTAACCATCCAGTCTAAGCTAGAGAAAGTGACACTTCAGTAAAGCATGCTGCTTAAGGTGACCCTCAAAACATTCTGGAAGCCATGTGAAAACATAAAGCTCAGAAAAACAAGACTGCTGGGGCCCCAAAACTCAAGAGACAGAGCTCCTCTCCTGCATGGGCTCCCGTTCCCCAACCAGCGTTTAGGCAGGGGGTTGGCAAAGCACAGAGAAGTTCATCCATCCCCACCGTTACAGACAGGGACTCGAGTGGCCCAAGTGAGCCATGTCCAACCCAGCTCTAGAGCCTTGTGTTGACAACCCCATTAGGAAACATTTCCAGCTGAACTTCCCTCAATTAGGTCCTTTGTCAGAACAAATCACAAAGTAAACCGACCAGGCAGAGTTGCCACACGTGACTTTTTCTTGCTTAACTTCAGACAAAGGAGAAGGGGGATCTGTTGCTTTGCTAATGGCAACAGGAAGGCACGGCTCAATCCCCACATCAGCTCCAATTCGTTTCACAAGTGCAGCCCTGCACGGGGCTGTTCACATTGGATCTGCCACATCTTCGTCAGAGACACAGTTTTGTCAACAGCAGCGCCCATGGTTCAACCACCACCTGCAGGGCTGATCTCCAAAGGCTCAGATCACAGTATTTTGCTAAACAGTGTGTACAATCTCATCTCAAACTTTTTTTCCCCAGGGATTAATACCTAGCTTGTTACAGCAGCTGCACACCTCTGTCTTGCCATGGCTCAGCCTTCTCTGGATGGGTAAAAACGTGTGTGTTTGTGCACACCACAAATCCCCTACTCACATACAGCACCGACTCATTCATCTTTCGTCCCAGGGAACATCTGTGCCCAGCAACACCCAGCTGTCCTCACAGGAAACTACTCCTGACATGCCTACCCTCATCACAATTATTTTGGTTTTTTTTTTTCTGCTTTTTACTACAAGCTACTTCATTTCCAGAAGTATACTGTTTTGCAGGGAAAGAAGAGGAAAAGTCTGCATGCCCTGGTTGATTTCTTCCTCATTTTGTCAGATACTTTTTTTAGCATAAAAATCTTAGATTTTTAGGGGTCTCCGAATGCAGACATAAAATTGCAAGTATAAAATAAAGTCTACTTAGTTAGTACTAAGTCCTCTGTATGTTCATCAGTTCATTCTTACTACTCATGCAATGTTTGTTTCTGTTTTGTGGGGTTTTTAACTATCCAGTTGATTGAGTTTTAAGTGTTCACAGTCTAATTTGTTTTGGTTAACTGAAACTTCAACTGACATTAACAAATATGCTGTTTATGGCTGCCTTAGAAAAAAAACACTATATGTAATTTCTGTAATTGATCTGAAAACTCAAGAAAACAAAACGGCTGAGGTCCCAAAAGTCACAGCAAGTTCTCCTGCACATTACTACTGTTCCCCAATTCAGTGTTTTTTTCCCCCCCCACTAGGGCTCACAAAGCACAGAAGAGTATTTTAACTCACACCACTAAGACAGTAAGTTGACCAGGTAAAGTAATTTTGAGGGGAAATAAATCCAGTATGCACTGAACTTCAGAGACAGCAATGAATATACCAAGAGAAATCAATAACCATTCTTTAGTAATTTACATTTAACACTGCCCCAGAGAAAAAAAAAGTCACTCGCAAAGTGAGCAATCTCCTCTTAATATTCAGCTCTTCCATGCACTCTTGTTCATTCTTCAATTTTGAGGCTGCATCAAACACTGCAATTTTTTACTATGTTTAGGACACTCTCCTGGATAGCTTTTCTTAGAAGCTCAACTAGTTCCAGAACTGTATTATACCAGAACTTTGAGAATTTATTTCATAAAAGTTAAGAGTCTTCATTAGTGAACACTTGTACACAATTTAACATCACACTGACAAGATTAATTTGATATTAAAACCAAGCTCAACTAGAACTTTTTGACAGTTAACTACATTTCTGTTGCAGAGCCCATTCATGGTTGGATTACTTGTGGTGGCTGTGAAGCTTGGTACACATGAAAGAACAATGAAAGGCACAGTTGTGGCACCTTCATATTTACAAGGAGAAAGGGAGACTTCTACATTTGACTGCTCAAAAGCATGTCAAATGGAGGGTGACAGAGGAAGTCAAACAGCCTATGCAAATCAGGAAACACAAAAATGGTGCCACAGTAGTAGAAAAACCATTCATGTCTTATATGGATGCCTCAGTATTTACAGCATCTTTAAGTCCACATTTTTTCCTGAAACTCAGTATTCTCTATCATATTTCTCATTGTGAGTTGAAAAGATGAACAGCACTAGTCTAAGATGTCTAGCATAGGATACTATTAAACAGATGAGAATCAATGCTTGACTGAACTGGCTTTACTCAGCCAGGAGGGTTCCAGGAGCTAGCTCCCTGAAAACAGGCAGGCCACGTCCATGCTTACACCACTTAGTCCTAAGCTCTCCCTGTGGCCCACATGGTATTCCTGTGGCCTCAAGACAGTGAGGGTTCTCCCTCATCCCATCAACTACCATATCAAAGCATCTGAAGTGATACAAGGGCTCTGCTGCAGTCACCAGGGAAGTATTTTACCTCATCAAGCTGACTGTATGCATTGCATCCCCTCCAGTGTGGCATCAGGGTGTTATGTGAGAAAAGTAAGGCTACTTCATACAACTGCATGACAGCCTCATCAACACCACTTTTTGCGAGAGGACTCTGGAACAAACCAACTCAAGACCCTACCAGCTGACAAACTGTTGGTGTAGCCCTAAAGAAGAAATCCAGGAAGCAAGTCAGCTATTTGCAGCAGCATGGATGTCCCAGTGATTGCCCTTGCTCCTCAGCTCTTTTACTTAGCACAGCGATCAGTGGTAAGAGGTATCTAGAATGAAGACCCAATGTAACAGACCCTCCCTTCTTTCCTTCTTTCCCTTCAGGAAGGCCACGAGGACCACCTCCCCATCTTCACCTTCCCATAACAGCAAGAATACTGTGCAAAAGCTGAACTGTATTTAGTAGCATAGTGAAAAGCTGGATGATTCAAAGTGTCACACTGCTGGAAAGCACAAGATCAACAACAGTAAAATACAATGGAAAGAACCCATTTAGAAATCAGTATGAATGCTCAGCAATTGCTAAAGCTCATCTATTACACCTGGCTTTCAAGAAACAGCATCCTGTTCTCCCAACCTCCCCTCACACCGCCACTTGAGGACAGGTCTGAAAATCATCCAAAAACTGACTGGAGGTAGATTTTACTTATAGTTCTCCAGTACATTGAATTCCCAAGCCTATACTCAGAGCAATCAGGATATCCCTGCAGAGGCTCTGCTTTACCATGGGAACTGGCAACTTGACCAACTTTCTTCTGTTACCATGAGTGCACTGTACACCAGTGCACAGGTTTGTCTTTCCCATTACTTCCTCCCCACCTCTCCTACACAGATATGTTAACTTTTACATCCTCTTCTGCCTGCTTCAAACACTCACTAGTATTACACTCTGGCACTCGAGGAAGACAGTGGAATTAGCAGCAATAAGTATTTTCAGTTGACAGCATAGTAAGAGAAATCAGGTTAGATACTTTGAAATTCAGAGTTTTATAAGGACCTTACTCAGAGATCCTTCTAGATGCCAGTTCAGAATAACTTTTCTCCTGGAAAGTTTATACAACAGAAGACTGTTTTCCGGAAAGTTCCTGGAACACGTCAAAAGACAGGTGATTTAACTCTGGAAACTGCTTATTTAGCAGAGGCTATCTTCTTAAGGGGAATGATCAGAGGAGATTGCAAAGGGGAAAGCCAGTTTGAGAATTCATATCTCATGTCACTTTCAGACTCAAAGAAATGCAGGAAAGCCAAATGAGGTCATTGTAATCAAAGAAAGTCAACTTTTATATCTTTAAGTCCTTTTTACTTTTAAATATTTCACTGTCTAATTGTTTAGAGTTTGTGTATCCTTGGTGCTACCTTTTTAGGGGAACTAAATGCAAGCTTAACCCAATACAGAGGACGGATAAGACCAGAGTAGTAGATTACTAACTCAGCTATCTTTTCACTGACCTCAGAAACAAAAGGTTAACCAGAACTGGAATCTTGATCATATTATTCAGGAAGAATATAAAAGCATAAGTAACTAAAGACAGAATAAGAAAAGCTGTGCAAAACAAAGAGATAAGTAACAGGGGTTTTTAGGCACATCAATTATAAAAAAAGCACAAGTAATTTTGATCAAAAAAAAGTCAGCATCACATTCGAAAAGCTGACTGAAATATGCTAAGAATTTCATGGAGTATGATTGTGAAAGATATAAACACAGAACTACATTCATGCTAGTTTGTTACCTTAAGTTAGGCCCCAAGTTTACCAGTGTAGCTGGTCTACACTACTTTTATATATAAAATACATAGATACAGAGCTGTACACACAGATATGTTCATGCACAGTAACCAAAGACACAAATTCCAGTAGGCAACACGCTTGCCTAGAGTCTAAGTTTGCTACTAGATATATTGGTTCTCTTTCTCTCTGCAGAGAGAAAACCAATATAACTTCAAAATCCTTAGGCAATTTTCATATATGTTAGGAGTGTGGCCAACTGAGCTGCTTAACAGGACACTCAGGAAGAGAGGAAAGCCAACAAATCAAAGCCTATTTAGCTTAACTCAATCCTGAAGAAGAGCAAAGTAGAGATTTCAAAGAGAACAAAAGCAACAACTGCCACAACAGACATCAAGAACGAACAACTGAATAACTGGAAACAAATGAAGTACAATGAAATTACAGTAGTTACAAATAAATAGGCCAGACAAACACATACAGTAATTAAACCTGGCATTGTAAAGCAGCTTCAGAAAACAAAGTGAGTGTGGTTTTGCTTACCAGTTTATCCCAACAGATTCTGCTTATGTGTTATTAATGACACCAACCACTTTGTCATGCTGTTAGTTACTTCAGTAGCTGCTTGAGAATTTGAAGCATATAAAAGTGTTTAAAAGCACATACATCAAGACAGACATAGAAAGTTTTCATTATTCACATGATACAGTTAGACTTGAACACATTTAGACACATTCAATTGTCAGAAGACCTGCAAATACATTTAACTGACTCAAGATGTCCTGCATCCGGAAGGACTGGCCCTGAAACCAAGACACCTTACAATGTTACTGCATCAATACAGCCCAGACTGACCAATTCAACTGTTGTGGCATGGAAACTGCAAGATAACATAGACAAGACTATAAATGAGTATTTTGCTTTATTTTAGTCACATGATAGATAAGGCTGGTAGAACAGTTTGTCCTGCCTGCACCCTAGAAAGACATCCAATACAGGGAGAAAGTAGTATTTGTCAGGGAGGACAGAGGGAACATAAACTATAGGAAGGAAAATAAAATCCACTCACCTGCCATTTTTTTGGATGTAGGTTGCTAAATAACCATGGTCTTCCCAGTTATGAACTGTTTCTGTCATTCCCTGCTCCTGAAAAATGGGCTGTAGAGCTTTAAGAACAGCATTGCAATCAGCTGTGAGATTGAGAGAAAAAAAAATCAATCAGTAAGGATTTTCCACTCAAATCAGTTCTGCTTTTTTTTCTTTTTTTAAAGGCTGACCAGTTTTTGCTGGTAGCATGGAGTACTTTTTCTTTGACTTCCATCTGAACAATAGCTTTCATGTACCTTGTCCTCTCCATCCCCAGAGATATTCCTCAGTGCACAGGGATCCAAGTTAATTTCTTTTAAATAAGTCTTTATCTCTGAGGAAAAGTGTTTATTACATTCATTGTAGGTAGGAGTACTTTTATTACAGCTACTATCGGTCATCTACTGTATCATAATCCAGACAAGTACTTACTTACAAAATTATTTTTTAAATCACAAACACACCACCAACCACCCCAGAAAGAAACCACAGCACTGACAAGAAACTTAATAGTTTCCCTGTTTTACAGCTCAGCATTTTTTCAAAGGCATCAGAAACTAGACAGGGCAAACTACCTCATCTACTCTGCCCTGTAGAAATACCCTTTTCTTAACATTCAGGACAGAGCAAGTTGCCAACTGAAATTTTCATGATGCTATGGAAAAGACCTCTCACTCAGAAAAACACACAAAAATTCACTTGGAAATAACTAAAGAAGTTACTCTGGTAATTATCTTCAAAAGCAAGCTGATGATTTGTCTATAAAGGTGTTTCTTCAGTCAGAACGTGCTGATTTCAGAAACCTCACATTTGCTGTACACACTAGTTTTGTAGTAATTTTAAAAAAAATTTTTTTTTTAAATAATCTTCATTACAACTATTTTAGACACTCCATTCACACAAGCGTCCCAAAAACAAGTTGCAAGTTTTGTCGGTTGATTTTAGAATTGACAAGTTAGGAGGATGCTGGTAAAGCTGGACCTACCAGAACAGGAAAAAAACTAGTTCATGAGACTGTCATACCAGTAAGCATCAGTGATGAGACTGACACAATATTAATCCATAGGCTGTCCTAGTGCAGCAAGTATCATCATTTTTGCTTTATGAATGCAAAACCAAGCATGTTAACATGCCAATAATGTAATCAGGATTTAGAGTCTCTATCAGAGAAACCACCTAGCGCAGCAACATTATGGAAGCACAGTTCATAAACAAATGCTTCAGCACTGACATGTTATTCCCTCTGCCCTGCCCTATTGAAGAGTTATTCCCAAGGTAATTATTTTGTCTTACTCCCTGCCCCCAAATGCATATACCTTGGAAACCAGTTAAGTGTAGCCTGCAGACATAATCAGCAATAGTTTCCAGGATGTTACCGATTTGTGCAAGCTTCAAACAAATCAACACCAAAAAAAAAATCTATACCAAGCAAATCACAAATTTCAGCTCATCTATCATCTCCACACAACTCCACAGCAGATTAATCTGAAAACCTGATTACTTGAAACCTATGTTTGCCCATTTTTAAAGCCTGGACTCAATTATCCCTGTATGTTTTAACCAGATAGACTGAAATAACAGATATTTATTTTAATTTTACTCTACATGAAGCCAAGCACAAGCCAATTCTCCAATATCTTGCCAGGGATATTTAATATGAGTGGAAAGGCTGCTTCTTACTGCTCATACTATCTGATCTTGAATGCATGTTCTAAGTATTTTTTTTTTTCTTCACCCTCTGTCTCACTCTAACTCCTCATGTTACAAATTAAAGGGAAATATAACCAATGAAAAATAAGTTATCTTGAACAACAATGAATGATTTAATTGCTGGCCCTTTCTCAGTCAGTAGCACCACTGACAATTTTTACCCTCACTGATGAAGCACCCCTACACACAGCCCACTATCACTACAAAGCTTTTTTCCCTTCCCTACTCTCCTGTCAAAATCAGAAAGAATAAAATCATCATAGCATCATCGAAATGCCACATCATCGAAGCATAGAATGGTTAAGGTTGGAAAGGACCTTAAAGATCATCTAGTTCCAATCCCCCTGCCATGGGCAGAGAAATCCTCCACTACACCAGGTTGCCCAAAGCCTCATCCAACCTGGCCTTGAACACTTCCAGGGATGGGGCAGCCACAATTTCTCTGGGCAACCTGTTCCAGTGCCTCACCACCCTCAATGTAAAAAAATTTCTTCCTTATATCTAATCTAAATCTGCCCTCTTTCAGTTTAAATCCATTGCCCCTTGTCCTATCACTACACATCCTTGTAAAAAGTCCCTCTCCAGCTTTCCTATAGGCCCCCTTTAGGTACTGGAAAGCTGCTATAAGATCACCCCGGAGCCTTCTCTTCTCCAGGCTGAACAGCCCCAACTCTCTCAGCCTGTCTTCATAGCAGAGGTGCTCCAGCCCTCGGATCATCTTTGTGTCCCTCCTCTAGACTCACTCCAGTAGCTCCATTTCTACCAGTAAGTTTTTATACTTCCTATCCAGCGTCAGGTACCACCATTCACAAGTGATCTTTGTCAGTTCAGACATGTCATCCCCTCTTCTTGCTTGGCATTTCCTTCACTTCTCCACTCCTTCACCTCCTCCCTCATCTTTTACAACACCCATGCTCATTTCCTTCCCTTACTTCTTTCTTATGTCACCACCTCAACATTAAACAAAAATCAGTTTAATAACACATGCCATACCCTTCCAGGCCAGCAAATCAGCATGAAACCCAAACTGAACTAGTACGCAACTAACTCCCCAGATCACTTTGCTTCTGCAGTGCCTGCAAGATACTGGAGTAGTAAGACAGCGAACAAACTCTGGAAGAACTGAAGTGCTCATACCACATTTAATCTATACGCTTTCAACAGCTTCAAGGATTCCTGCTAGGTGCATCTTGGCAGAGACTGCAGGACAGATCACCACAGATATTTTTCTGTTTCATGGACATACTAATCCCCTACAAGCTGCTCATCATTCGGCAGCAGATTTCTTTGCTAAGCAGCCAGGCACAAGCTTGATTGAGTTCTTCCTATTATGCGATTAGCTTTAGAAAAATCAAACCAACAACACGCTCTTTCACCAGGACTCCTTTTGGTTACACCACATTAGATTTGCCTTGGAGGGCTAACTAATTCTTGAAAGCTAGAGACTCCTTTTCAAAAATGTTTGAGGCATCAGTGGTTGCTTGACAGCATCAGGAAGTTTTGGGAATCTGAGGACTTCTCACTCAAATTCACTTAGCACCACCACCACACTCCAAGCTCAGATGTGCTATACCAAGCAATGATAAGCAAAAAGGACAACTGATTAGAGCAGTAGGAACATCTTTCAATCTACATCAAACTGTTAATTCAAGTAGTCATTAATTTATTTTTTTTTTTGCTATTCAGGAACAAAGGAAAAAAACTCTAGTTGCCAAGCATTCTGGTTATCAAGCATGAAACTGTTTTAAGTATTTGGTAATTATCTATCAGAAGGAATGAAAAGGCCTGGAGTTTCAACTCTACAGAACAGAAATAAAATCACCACGTATAACACTTGAGAGATATGTAGTTATCAGGAGAGAGAATGTCCAGTTAAGCAAACCAGTTTTGGAATCCCAGCACACTTGAAGAGATGATTAGCAGCATTTGCAGATATTCCTCTGAAATTTTTAGCAGCCAAGAAGCCATTATTTGACAGTGATCTGTGAACATGAACACAGCTCAAAGTTCAGAGTTACTGTAAGCATCCAGTTTGGCCTTGTGCATAACACTGGCTAGTTTTACCCAGATAGTCCCAACACTGAGCTCAGTAATCTGCTATTGAGCCAGACTATCTCTAAAAATATTCTGGTTTAAGACCTCCTCATACCAGAGGATTGACAAAAATCTTAGTAAGCAATGGGAACAGATTAGCTCTCATTCAAAAATATTCACCCCATTTCTGACTTCAAATTTTTCTTACCCTGATTTTGAACCATTTCCTCTAGCAAGCAAGAGCATAACACAACCAAAAAAGTGGGACACATCAAAGCACTTACATATGCTTCCACGTCTCCAACATACTTTTCCCTTGGTAGTTACACTTTCAATAGAGAATGATGAAGGGAAAAAAAAAAATCAAATTAAGTGAACTGCCTCATTAAAAATACATTAAAGAGCACACATTAGGAGCCAAAATGCAGAATATGCTAATAGTAAACAGCAACCTGAATGACTGGCATATTGTTTCAGTTCACAGCTGTGTAAATTAGTTACTCCAACATACTAAGTCATTGTTTTGTGCAAGTCTGAAATTCTCACACATAGGCACTCTACCAGTCAACTCCAATTATTCAAATAACCTCACAGGAAAAGAAAATCTGCAGAGACAAGGTGGGAGAGTGTCACATACAAGTAATGAAGGGAACATGCCTGAGAAAAAGAGCCTAATTTCTAGCCAGGTGAGGTCCCAGAGGCAGTCCAAGAGGGCAGCAGGAAGCTGGGCATCCAACCTGTTGCAGCAGCATATCTGACTGCTCCAGCATCCAGCCCACCAGGGCCAAGTCAGGCCACTCATGGTGCCTCCCTCCACTACCACTTACTGAAAAAGCAGTAACCAGGCTTATAGGTTGTCATGGTTTAACCTGACCAGCCATGCAGGTGCTCTCACCCTCCACCATCCCCAAGGAGTGTGGACAAGAATTAAAGGGGAAAAGAAATTCATGGGTTGAGATAAAAACAATTTAATAGTAGCATATGATAATACATATAATAATAATATATACAAACAAGTGATGCACAGTGTAATTGCTTGACACAGTGAACAACGCCTGTCCTGTCCCAGCAAGCAACCCCAAAACAGGTAAGTCCTAACATTGCAATCCTTGAGAAGCCCAAAAAGAGAGAGAACTCAGAGACCAAGAGTCTGAGAAGAGATCAAGAGAGTGCCCCCAGAAGAGAATCCCAACTTCCCATTCAACCCTCATCTATATAGGCATGACATTGCATGACAGGCAATACTCCGATGGCCAATTTTGCCCTCAATCTAAGTCGAAGTTCAAATCCTAAGGAGAGCTGTAGGTCCTTTGTCCCAGCCATGCTTCCCCCAGCCTGTTGTGCTCCTGCACACTGGCAAAACATGG